TCAGGTCACTGTTCTTAGAAGGACCCCATTGCCCCTAGGATGGCTGCTAGTGAGCCCATCCTGCCCAAGGACACACTTTGCAAGTGTGGGTATGGGAGACCCCCTACGCTACCACCAGCATAGCTCCCAACCTCACAAGGGCACGCAAGCTCTTTCCCCACAACAAGGGGGTGTCTGTGAAAGAGTGTCTCCCATAACATCCTCATATACAAGCTGATGAAGTATGGACTAGGTAAATGAGGTGGGCCGAAAACTGACTGTACTGGCAGGCTTGGAGGGCTGTGTTCAGCAGCATGAAGTCCAGCTGAAGGCAGATCACTAGTGGTGTACCCCGTGGTGTCGAGAGAGTGGGGCCAATATAGCATAACATCTTTACTCATGACCTATATAAAGGGACAGAGAGCACATGTCTGCAGGGGACAGCGAATTGGGAGGAGTGGTCAACAGGCCAGATGCATGTGCTACTTTTCTGAAGGACCTAAGGAGGCTGGAGAAACAGGCTGACAGGAACCTCATGAAATTCAGCAGATAGTAATGTAAAGTCCTATAGTACAGGAGAGACATGGACATACTGGAGTAAGGCTGACATTAAGGGACTGGAGCATCTGACATACAAGAAGAGACTCAGAGCTGGGACAGTTAAACCCTGAGAAGAGAAGGCTTGGGCTGGATGAGCAGGGGAAGGAAACCTCATTAATAACCATATGTAGCTGGTGAGATGAAGTGAAGAAAACAGAGCCTGATTCTTCAGTGGTATCCAGTGAAAAGACAAGCAAAGGGCACAGACTGAATAGAAGACAATTTCATCTAAATCTAAGAACCACTCCCCCTTTTTCTTTTTTTACATTGTGAGGGTGGTCAAACACAGGAACAGGCTATCCAGAGATGCTGTATAACATCTATCTTTAGTTATACTAAAAGCCAAACTGGACATGGCTCTGAGCAACTTGCTCTAGTTGATCCTTTAAGCAGGGGGGGATGGACTAGACTTCCAGAGGTCCCTCTCAACCTCCATGATTCCATGTCTTAGCTGCTGTGAGGTACCATACCTCAGTTCTCCATGTAGAACAGCAGATGTTTTTTGCAGTCTTAATAGTGCTTAAGACACAACAACCTGCAAGCAAGATTCCAGGTAGCTCTTTCACAGTAAACCCATTTAATTTTTGTATTAAGAGTACCTTTCCTTCACAGAGCGAGAAAATGGAGCCCAAATGAAGCCCAAAGCTACAGCAACCTCTAAAAACCAAGGAAATCCCTCTTCAAAGCCTAGGAAGGAAAGCACAGCAACCTGACAGCCCAGTACAGGACTGGCAGCTGAAGACAGGAAGGGCCAGGGCTCAATTCTGTAAGCACAGAAGGGCTTAATGAAAATGTACCCAACTCAAAGTCAGTATTGCAACATCCCTTAGATCCTCTTTGCTTCCAGACAGGACAGACAGGTAATTTGCTACCAGACAACAGAAAATGCCCATCACTTGAGTCACCATGAGAGACAAACACAGCACTGTTACTTGACATGTCAGCTGCTAATGGTCTTCTGTCTTCTCTCTGCTGCCATTCTTCTGGTTTATTAAGGCTGAAGGAAAATCCTCCAAAGGAATGACTGTAAGAGGATGCTCTTACCTTTCTAGTCGCTTGTTGCTCAGCTGCTGGATTTGCTCCTGCTGTGCTGCTGTAAGCGGAGTGCGGAGGCTTTTGGAACTCAAGCTCTGAAACTGAAGACAAGGTCACATTAAAACCTGCCCACTTGTGCCACTAGGGCATCCTCTGCACCACCCCAAAAGCATCTTTGAGGGAGACCCAGTATTCTGACAAATACATATGCCAGGGGCTGTTAGAAACAACAAACAGAATAGGCAAACCTATCTGCATGTTTTAAACCAAACCTGTACAACTGTTCTTCTGCTAGTTTTGTGGCTCAGAAGAATAAGTAAAATTAAGGAACATTCCACCAAGCAAGTCAGGGTACAGTGTGGTTACATTCCATCTCTGCAAAAGAGGGTATTCAAGAGAACCCAAGTGTTCTATTGGCATAAATAAACTATGCCTCAGCCTCTGTGCAGCCTAAGGAAGGAAAAGTTGTTCTACTTCCTGTAAGAGATAAAAAGAAAGGTAAGGGATTCAACCAAAATGATGAAGTGAGAGGCACACAGAGACCATATACTTTTCCTATTACTTAACTGTTTTTGCTCCTAGGACAAATGACACAATATATTCACTGGATTCTTGTGCTTCAGGGATCCCATTTGTCTCAAACACCTTCTGCCAGTAGTTGACCACATCGGTGGCAGTCACGACTCCAGGCCTTGTGCTGCAGCTCTGCCTCAGAGACGACTGCTTTGGACTGAGGATTTGACTCCATCTCCCTGGCACGCACTGAGGTGAGAGACACGACAACCTCCTAAGCAGTGTGTGTGTGAGGCATCTCATTGTTGCAAAATCAGTTCCTGCCACCAGCTGATCCGGTCAGTGCTGAGGCTCACAGGACACTTAGTGCTACCACAAGCCACTGTGGCTAAGCACCAGCTGAGCACAGTCAGTGGATCTCTTCACAGCAGCACAAAAATGGTTGGTTTGCAAATTGGTTTGCAGCACTTCTGGTCTAGAAAATGAGAAAAGAGAACAGCCTGAATCCCTTGGGCTAGCAAATCACTTGCTCCCCTCTGACAAAATGCAGACTGCTTGCTGTAATCCCAGCCCACAGGTAAAAAACCACTATACCCTAAGAATAACAAAGGATTACCCCAACAGAAAACTCAGGTAACAGCTAATCAGCTCTGCTGCTGCAATCCAGTTCTTTGCAAAGCTGCCCACCTCCACAGGCCAGAGCTACAAGGAGGTCAGTACACGCCCGTGGCAGGGCAGAAGCAAGCGTGCCTTCTTGTCACAAGTCAGGACCTTCTTTGCAAAATCAAATACAGGCACAGTGCTCTGCCTGTCCTTGGTCCCAGAAACCCACAGACTCACCGACCTCCAGCTCCAGCCCTTGGCTCTTCACCCCACAAGTGGACCATCCTGGCTCCCTGCAGGAACACCTTAAGTGTCTCCTAGATTCTTTCTTTTATTCCTCTCTCTGTTCATAAACCACAAGTCCTGGGTTAGCAGGTGTGCCCACAGAAGACCTTGACTTCACAAATCAAGGGTCTTCCACACTGTCACCATCCCCAGAGAGCAAACAAGGGGCCACAACGCCAGGGCTGAGCTGCTAAGAGCAGAGAAGGAAGAAAAACTCACAAGGTACAACTAGAGGGAAGGGAAACACTTGAAAGATACAAAGGCCAGTAAAGGCAAACCCTGCCAGAAAGAAGTCAGTCTCTTAAAGAACAGAACAGGCATAGCCAGACAGAAGGAAAACAAACAAGGTAACTGCAGGAGACAAAGGAGATGAAGTTTTACAGAACAGCTGCTGCATATCACACTTGGAACTGTGTGAGACAAACAAAACTGCCTTCCTGCTGCGATCCATCAGAAATGAGGGCCTCCCTCCCTTCTGACTCACAGTCTGTGGGGCCACTGTGGGTTTCCCTGAGCATCCATTCCCATACCTCTATTAATGGCTGCTTTCTGTCACCCTCTCAGAAAAGCCACAACAGTCCGTCCTCCAAAAAACCACCAGACAAACAACTAAACAGCCAGGGTGCTGCCCTGTAGGACTGACGCTGCAGAGAGATCTGGGAGGCTGGGTCAGCTCCCACCTGGGCAGATGCTGGCACTCATCCCCTGCAGCAGCCCTGGACCACGCTGCACAGAGCACCTGCACAGGCAGCAGTGTGGGGCCTACCCTGCCCTTGCTGCACAGCAAAACTGGAGGAGAAATCAGGCCCTCCTTTGCAAAATCAAACCGGAGCTCAGAGAGACAGAAGAGGGCACACTCTGCAGCAAAGGTCTCAAGACTGGCTTATCTGCTACCTCCTGACAAGGGGTGGATGCTTAAAGAGCCTGAGGATTCCCTCCTTACCATCTTCATTATCCTCCAGCAGAGATAAGCAGCCCCTATGAAAACTTGTCTTTATGTTATGCATAAGGAGTCTGACCACTAGGCTTTACCTAAGCAGCTCCACACTCCAAAGCCCTGTTTTGGGGATACTACCAAAAGCAGAACACTGAAGGAATAAAACATTAACCGTTATTGTTAGGGAGGCAGCTAAATCTTTAATTTCCCATGGCTGGAACAATGCTGCCACTACTATCATTCCTAACAAAGCAGACCAGGTACTGATGTGAGGTTCCTTGCACGCTACTTCTCAGTGCAAATACCTGTTTGCACACAGGCAGGGAACAGATGTTTCCCCACAGTTGTGTGGTTTGGTCCGACACAAACAGTGGTGGCTGCTGAAAGGCTCGGCCCTGCCCCACACTCCTTGTCCCGCTCACAGGCTCAGGCAGGAACTGGGGCCTGCCCAGTACAAGCTGGTACCTGTGTGCCACGGGGTCAGTACTCAGCCGGGCGGGCCCCTAGGCCCGTACCAGGGTGTGGGTACGACGCCCCGCTTGCCAGCCAGGGAGCTGCCCATCCACACCTCATTCTGGTGACCGAGAGGCTCTCGGGCGCTACATGAGCCCCAGAGAACACTGCCGGGACGGGAACGCAGCTTTGCTTCCAGCTGGCCCGGCCCTCCCTACACGCGCAATACCCTGACCGAGGCCAAGCACCCCGCCTGGCACGGCGGCCATGGAGCGGGGTCGCTTTACCTGAGAGGCGGCAGGCCCGGGGCCTCTCACAGGCGCAACAGCGACGCCTCCCCTCATGGCTGCCGCCACCGGCGGGGCTGGAGCCGCCACCGGCTGTCCCTAGCAGCCGCCTCCCAGCCCGCACCCTACAGCGGGGCTCGGGGACGAGGCGCGAGGGCAACCCCGCCGCTCCCCGCGCGCCACCACATCACCTCACAGCCAGCCCGCCGCCGCCGCGCGCGTGACTGACAGGGGAACGGACCAATCGCGAGACGAGCCCTGCGGGCGCCAACCAATCGCCTGGGGCGCCGAGCGGAGGGGCGGGGCCGCCGGGCGTGCGGCGGTGCGTGCGGAGCTGCGGGGCCCCGCCGCCCCCCTCTCCCCCCCCGCCCCTCCGCCGCCGGCGGCGCTCCGGGGGCACCGGACGCCTCAGCAGGGAGCGCTCAGTAAGTGCCGGCCCCGGCGGGCGGCTGCCTCCGGGGAGGGGCGCAGCGCAGGGCCGGGCCGGGCCGTGGGCGGGGGCTGCCGCGGCCTCCCGGCGGCGGGGACCCCGGTCCCGTGCCTGGTGCGTTCGCCCCGGCGAGGCCCGGCCGGGCGAGGCGCAGCGCTGCGGGTGGCGGAGCCGGGGGCGCGGAGCGTGACAGCAGCGCAGCGGGGAGCCGGCTGCGAGCCCTGGGGCCGGTCCGTCCCCGCACGGGGAGCGCTGCGGAGCGGGAAGGGCCGTACAACCCGTTATCCGTCCAGAAACGGCCCCTGCGATGGGGAAGCGTCCCCAGACAGCCGCGGGTGGCACTGCCCGGAGAGGGCCCCGGGGCCGGCCGTTGCTTGCGTTTCTGTCAGCGCGGAGCCGGAGGAGCGGGGACATTGCTGGGCAGGGGCCCCTCGCCTGTGACTGGGAGGGCTGGGACAGTGGGTGGGCGGCGGCTGAGGTGCTCCGGGACAGCGGGCACCCGCGGCCGGGGCTTCCTCTACCCTGGGGGCTGCCCTGGAGACGGGTCAGCCCCATAGCAGGGCGAGACGAAGCCACAAGTTCACACACTGGGAAGCCACATCCCATAGGCAACAGCAGCCCGGTGCTGCTCGCACTTCTGAATGACTAGAGACACCTCATCTCGGTGAAGTAGTGCAGCAAAAATACTAGTTATTATTTGCCTTCTTCATTCAGAGACCCTGTGAGCCACCTTCATCCCTGTGACACAACCCTCTATTCCTGGCATACCCGAGAGGAAGCTGCAGCACAGAGGGATTAAAACCAAGGCTCAGAAAAGCCAGCAGCCTCAAGCTAGTGCCTGACGTGATGATCTGCATCTCAGAGGTGTTGGCCACCGCAGCGCGTACCAGAGACTGGTTTGGAAATGCTGGCTAGGGGAGAAACACGCTCTCCTTACTTCCAGACCCAGCAGAGCCCAGCATGGACCAGCCCTGGCTATGTGAGAAGCTCTGGTGGTGCAGGCAATGGAAGAATGCCAGCAGCAGCTGAGGATGTGGTTCCTCATCTATTTGTGCATGGACTATGCTGAACCTGCTAGCAATAGGTAGTAGCAGTCCCTGGCCCTAGCGCAGCCATCAGAGACTTGAAGTGTGCCCAGCCTGCAGCTCAAACTTCCAGCACCAGGATGACAAGTGGGGAGGGAAAGGTGGTGGGAAAGATCAGCGGCTCCCAGCCCTAGCTTTGTAAGCCATGGGCCCTGCACTCAGCCTCCCCATCTGGCCCTCTGCAACCTGGAGCAGAAGGGGCTTGGGAGCAGAAATACCCTCATCTGGACATAGAACTGGTTGTATAAGCCATGTCCTTTCATACAGGACTGCTTTTAGAAGTAGGTCTCTATGCTTGGGAATCCATCAGCATGGACAGAAGCCCCCATTCCCACTTAGAACAGATTTTCTGCTGTCTAGTTCTAACCTAGCCTGACTATTCAGAGGAGCAATGCACAGCAGCTCAGTGTGTGGTCCATACAAAAGAGGTCTTACCCAAGGCTTGGCATCAGCATCAACATCCAAGTTCCAGTGCTTTTCCAAAACTAACACCGCACTGAAATGAAGGTGTAACCCCTTTTGTTTCCGTAATTCAGGAGCTGTTTAAGATCTAGAGCCATACTTTGCAAAGGCCTTGGGCCTGCTTCCCTCCTCTACTTAGGCTCTTTTTCTACTTTGTGATTCCTTGGTTGTGGCTTTTTTAAAACTGTGAATTACTGTAATGGGAAGTTTCCCTGAATAGCACAAATCAGTGATTCTCCCTGAGCAGCTGCTCCATCTGCCCAATACCTGCTCAACAATCCCTTCCCTTGCCGTGTTGGGCTGTAGTTGCTGCTGCTGTTGTGGCACTTGGATTTCAAATTTGCTGTCTTTGTGCTGACTGTGCCAAACCTGAGCTCCACTGTGGTCAGAAATAGTCTGGGAAATCCTGGTGCCACAGGGTTTAAACTCAGCATGCGTGGTTTGGTGGGGAGTGGAGGACGTGGTCCCTTTCAGCTGCAGTGAACTCGTGTCTCAGCACGGTGTTAGATGGGACCAGACCACAACTGCTATCTTCACATTTCTCTTAGAAACTCTTGGGAGTTTGACAGCTGCCACAGCAACTCCTGTGAAACAGATCCTGCAGGTGTGGCGAGAGATTTACCTGTTCAGGGAGACGCAGAACAAGTGCTGTGCAAGTGCAGGTGGCTACTCATGCTGCGGCCTGACCACAGGATGGGCTGGTGCTGTTCGCCTGGTGTGATTTCTCTGCTGCAGTCGTTACTGACAGATGTTAATCATGCTGCTTAACGCAGTTATGGACAGCAGGAAGGCGTTGTGGTAACGGGAACTGCACAATAACCTTGCCTAGAATAGAACAGAGCAGAACAATGGCTCATTTCTCTTTGCAGGCACATCTTTTTCTATTCAGAGCTCATTAGCCCCTGTGTCCGGCTGCATTCCAGTCCGGAGATGTAATGTCTGCTCGACTGCAAAGAAATTACCAGAGGACTGCTGCAGTAGTTCTCGGGGTTGGCACTGCTCTGGTCCAGAGGTAGCTGCATTTTCATGGAGCAGTTGTTCCTGATGTTATAAACAGTGGGTTTATAAACAAAGTTTTGCAAATAATTCCCATAGGATCATCCCCATGGTGTTTTGCAATTCCTGATCATTTGCACAATAGAAGCATGAAGCAATTGAAGACTTTCATGTTTTTGGCATGAATAGATCCATCAAATTTCACAACTTCAAACCAAAATTGGACTCGTTTTAAAATTAATAGCGATAATAAGTGCATGACTAAGTTTGAGTGGGTGCTTTCATGGGGGACTTGAGAAATACTCCCTGCAACTCACTGCTCTATGGAAGCTGCCTTTACAGAGCGCATGGGGCAAGGGACAGTGGGCTGATGGATAGTGCAGTGACTTACCAGTCACCAGTGCCTACCACAACAGGGAAGTCCTACTTTGGACGCAACAAAAAGCATCCCGAGATACAGATGCTTCACAGCTGAGTGCCATTTATTGGATATGCTCCCACTGATAAGGGGATCTGTGTAACTTTCCAAAAATGAACAGCAGGAGTGAGAAGCAGGAAAACCCTGTATCTCCTGTGGATAGAGGCCTCCTGGCTCAGCCTGGAGCAGACCAAAGCTGTGGGGTTCTGAGGCTGTCCCCACATATATCTGCCAAGTGCCTGTAAGGAGGCAGAGCTGAAGCAGTAAAGGGGAGAGTGTACGACTGACTTCAAGGCATGGCTCTGGGGGCTCTCAGCACCCCTGAAAAATCTTCCTCTGAGTGGGCATCTGTGAACTGCTCTCAACAGTTGTACTAGTGACTTGGGAAGCTTTGGAAGAAGTTCTGCCTGTCTCCAAGAGCTCTGCACTGTTCATTTGTCTCATTCTTTCCTAGGTTCCTATGAAGAAAACCATCAGCAGTGATGCTACAGGACAGGTCTCACATGAGGGGCCACCATATGAAGGGCAGCTCTCCGCTTCTGTAGCTGATGGGTGAGGACAACACGTTGTTAAAAGGAGCTACCAAGAGCTGACAGGATGAGTTACAGCTCACCTTCTGTGCATGACTTGTATCACAGCACCACCAGCACAGCCAGGCCAGACCCAGGGACAACTCTGGATGTGACTGTACCAGAAACAGCTACCGTAAGCCCTGAGACTACCAGTTTCAACAGCACCAAAATCCCAGATGTGACCAGCACCGGACCCGGCCTGAGCACGATGCTGCTGTCCTTTGGGATCATTACTGTGATTGGGTTGGCTGTAGCTATGGTAAGAGAGCCCTGCTAAATATTTTGTGGCCTGTTGAGGGTGGCAAAGGGGTTCTAGGACTGATCTGGGTTGAATAATGTATTTGCATTCTGCTAAAGGTTCACCCAGAACTGCTGGGACCTGATCGTTCCTGAGAGCCCTTTCTTTATAAGGCCTTTATCCAGTGCTTGTGTATTTCTGCAGTTTCCTTGAGGTCTAATCCAATGGGGATGCTCAGCAGGCCTAGAGGAAGCCATATGTAGCATCAGTGTTTATTTTTATTAGCAATAGGAAGTTCAGTTAAAAGAACACAAAGCAAATTCTGTTGTCTTAAGTGGAACAGCTGCGTTAATTTAAACCTTGTCAACACTGGGACCCTGCAAGGAAGTTCATCCAAACTGACTTTTAAAGCAGGCTGTTGAAAACATTTATCTCCTCTTTGGTCGTGCCTTTTTTGAATGAAAACAGCATAGATCTATTTTATTTAGACTCATTCTGGGCTGTATTTCCAAGGTTCTACTTGCTGGGTATTAGCAAAGTGCTTGAGGGTTTGCTGTGTAACTAAACCTGCCACTAATGCTGCAGGCAGAAGCTTTCAGAAACTGTAGTTCTGGGCCTGACATGGGCAATGCAAGTGCTGCATTTCTTCTTCTGATATATAACTACATCATTTACCTGCCAACAGAGAACAGAAGGTAGCAGCAAGCTCCCATTCCTCGTAAGAGGAAGAGCTTCACTAATACAGCCATCAGAGGAGACTACAGAGAGGGACTACTGCAACATTTCATTGCAGGCCCAAGGAGGAGTTATTCCAAAAGCCCTTAAGAACCTGGAAACATTATCCTGGAAATGGTCCTAAGTTCCCAAGAGCAACACCCAGCGTTCGTAGCTCTCAGAACAAGGCTCTGGAGGCCAAAAGCCTCCCTTTCTTCCCAGCACAGCCACTCTTACTGGCTGACATGAGGCAAGTCACTGAGCATGCCCTCTTTGCTTCTTCCCTTCATACTGGGGAGGGGGTTATAGCACTTCAGCACTGTAGGGAATTTACAGGTGGAAATCACAAAGAGAAGGCTCTTCATCCACTCTTAAACTGCAATACATGTCCTGCAGCCACCAGAAATATGCTGAGCTACACCTAATAATAATACACCTAATACTCTTACTACTACTAACACACCTAATAACAGGCCACTCGAGCACTTAGGGTCAGCCATGGTGTGCCACCAAGCTTACACTGATGCATATGGAATTTCATTCTTGGTTGTCACTTCTCCCTTCCCCCTGCTTCAGTGTGCAGTGACACCAGAGTTGCTGCACCTTCCTTCCGTGTGCCCCGTGCCCAAAATTTCTCTTCCCCATCCTCCTGGGGCTGTTATAATGATGGTTTTCTTTCTCCTTCAGGTTCTGTATATCAGGAAGAGGAAGAGGTAAGTTACATCTGTTGTTAGCTGAAGGGATCTCAGTGCCCCTCAAAATTCAGAGAATTGGGAAGGAGACAGCAAGATGGGGAGAGTGCAAGGGGTGGCTGTCCAGGGAATCAGGTGTGTGTGAATGAGGCAGGGGTAGGGACACTGCACTCATGGTGCTGACCCACTTTCTATCACCAAAGCTTCAAAGACTCCTCTGCAGCTTTGGAAAGAAAAACATGGATCAGCAGGAGGATGTTAGGGATCCTGCAAACTCTTCATGCTTATCTATGGGATGCACTAAAACAGAGAAAAGGCTCACAAGTATACAAAGAAACTGGGAACTCTGTCATGAGAGGTGCAGATCTCACATTTCTGCCATTCCCAGATCCCTGTGTTTTCCAACAGCCTGGGCAATGACACTGGCCTTGCAAGGCTGACAGGCTGTTAAGCTGCAGCTATCTACCCCAAAACGTAGTGTCTTGATTTCCTTGTTAAGCTACTGGCTAGAAACAGAGATGAGAGCAGCATGCAGAGAGACGTGTCTTAATTCTTTTGTCTCTGACAGCTGAGACACTGCTGAAGAAGACCCATTAGATACGGTACCTTCTCCATGCTTGACTCCTGGTGCCAGGCCTGGCGTGGCCATGAAGTGAGCTATGCTCACTTAACACACTTAAGAAGGTCTGCTGCCTGCTGTAAAATTCCCAAGCCAGACCATGAAGCCCAGGTCTGGCTACTGCCACAGGAGCGTCTAATGCTTGGCCTGTGAACGTAGCACTGCTGGAGATAATGGTTGTATTGGCAAACCCATATAGAAGCAGGGAGGGAGTGTGTCATCCTAGCACTTGCCAAAATAGATATTTGTGGTGACACTGCCAGTAACTCCTTGTGTGTTTCCCATCCCCAAAATTCAGCTACAGCCTAAGGCAGGGCTCAGTGTTTTCACAGGAGCATGCCCACCCATCCATCCTCCATCTCTGAGCAGCCCAGTGTTGAGGAAGGCCCCATGGGGTAACAGTTTATAGCTCTGTCACTTGGAGCGGCGATGCAAGAGCAAGAACAGTCTGTCCACAAGCATCAGCCTCCTGTGAGAATCTCTTTCCTGTTTTCTTTTATTGTTTTCTATTCATTTTTATGTATTTCAGCCCCAAAGTACTACTCTGAGGCCACTCGAGCCGGAAGTGGACTTCTGCTGGCACACTTAGCGTGACATGGCAGGACTGGCTGTTGTGGGCAGAAGGACAGGGGGAAAAGTCACAATGTGCCTAGGCACTATGTTCACTGTCTTTGTCCCACCACAGAAAGCTTGATCTTTTAAGGTTTGCAGGAATTTAAATCCATGTCTGATTCCTCTGTGACTAATGCCTAGTCACAGCTAGCATAGTTGCTAGCTTAGTGATGGCAATTAATCCCTGTAACTGCTGTCTGGGTATCTTCTGCTCCTGCCAGCTGTGTGCAGTAGGTTCTTATCCTCATCCCTGCAGAACAGGACAGGACATAACCCTTATCCATCAAGAGCAACAAGAGCAGAATCCCATTACAGAAGGAGAAAGAGCCTGCAGAAAGCCTCAGCACTGGGCAGGGAAGGCAGCCTGAGCATCTGTCCTTCTCAACCAACCCTTTCCCTTCCCTCCCGTGGGCAGGTTGGAGAAGCTACGGCACCAGCTCATGCCCATGTACAACTTTGATCCCACTGAGGAACAGGATGAACTGGAGCAGGAGTTGCTGGAACATGGGCGAGACGCAGCATCTTCCCAGGCATCACAGAGCAAGGTAGGCAGCAGGGACCAGCGAGTCTGTTAGTACAACCACTGGTCCCTACACTGCTTTTGTTACAGAGTCAAGGAGTTCTTTGTAGGGTTGGAGGGTAAAGAAATCATGTAAGACCTCAGGAGTACTTGTTCCATCTCTGCCAGCCCTGGAGATAGGGGGCTTGAGAATTCTGGAGTGCTTAGGATAGACTGAAGGGTTAGACAGCTAGGACAAAGAGCCTGGGGAGGCAAAGTGCTGGCTCTACTCAACTAGGCAAGAGAAAAGGGCAACTTGAGTAATTAAGGGTGCATTTACTACAATTTACCATCCAGGGCACCACAGTAGGATGTGCAGTAGGGAGCACTAGGATGAATGTATTTTCTGGGAGATAGGGTTTCAATGCCCTCAAAATACTGAGGCTCCTTTGTCCTGGCCCTGAAAAGCAAGTAATTCCCACCCAGTTTTAAGGTAGCCAAGCTTTGTCTAAGGATGCAAGTGTGGAACAAGGCCTGGCTGAGGGAAAGCCTTTAATCCTAACAGCTAACTGTGCTGCAAGCCCTGAAGAACACAGGCAGAAAGCCTGCACGTTGTTATGGCATCACACATCTGGTGTTGCCAGCACCTCCAGGCCAACCTTGCTGTGCACAGAGCAGGCATGGCTCAGAAAGAGAAAAGGGAGGAGGGTTCTCTTTTTGAATTTGGGAAGAGGGAAAGAAGCCTTTACTTTGACCACTTCTGAGCTTTCAAAGGCATGCGGCATGCTGAGATATGATAAGGCCACTAGAGACCACTGACTTACTACATTTGTGAGTTAGGAAAGAGCTTAATAACTTGGCCAGCTGCCCACATGGGTCTTTGACAAGAAACTGTCTCCTCCCCCAGTGTACCAAGAGTTAGGAGAAACAGGGAAGAAGGGTTTCTCACCATTGTTTGCAGCCACCTTCACAGTGTTTTCTCTTTCCTTTGTCACCACCACCACACAAAAAGCCCATCTGAAAGCCAGAGCCAGCAGGCACGGTTGGAACAGGTATGTCTTTTAGCCAGTGATGCAGCCTCCTCTCAGAGTAGACGTCTCTCCTTTCTTGAATTCTTCTCCAGCCGCTCCGTGTTGCCCATGGCTTCCCTTGCTTTTCCAGTTCCAGGAGTTCTCCCAAACAGTTCTCAATTTCCCCACGCTTTACACCTTCAGCTAACCTGCAGCAAGCCTAGCATGGGCAGAAACAGAAAGAGGAGATAACAAGTACCACTGTAATTGTAAAGTATTTACCTTAAGACATGCTTCCTAATGTGCTGAAGAGCACAAAGGAGATGCATGTGTTGGAATACAAAGTCAACATGTTCTATACACTGGTCTGGAAAAGCAAGAAATACTGTTGTATCAAAGCAAAGGATCTTGTCCTCCGGAGTAGCACATACTGGGAAAACATCAGATCCCTCTATTAGTAAACATTTCCTTTCAGGTGGCAAAGGGAGAAATGACATGGCCAGAGTTAAACCATCACAGTAAAAGCAGATCCTTCCTATACAGGGCCTGGCCAGCAGGATACCCAAGATCCCTCCAGACCTTGCTGATGCACAGATACCTCTGCTTGGAAAATTTCAAGTTTAAAGGCTTAACATAAGAGAGGGAGGGGCTAAAACAACAAAGTTCAGCCTATGGCATGTTTTCAGGCCTTCTTGGTGTTTCAGGTCTTTTCATGCTGCATATAAATAATGAGAGCCAGTACTCCAGTGATGTGGGGATAATTGAACTGGCATGGGTGTGCTGACTTGCTCACTGGCCTGTTGTATTTTCCCATCACAGCCGTGTTAATGCCATGTTAGTCAGCCAGTCTCCCCTTAGCAAGGGGCAGAACGTAGTTACAATCCTGTGCAGTGTGTGCCCAAGCACATGCACCTGAGCGAAGGCAGACTTGCTGGGTCTCATCTTTCACTGCTTCAATGCAGATTCTGCTGACAAGTCAAGGAGCCCTCCAGAGACCCAGCCGTCTTGTGTTCGCAGACGTTGCCAATGCCATCAATGCATGAACAGTACCTGCCCTGCTCTGGGATCGTGCTGAGACTGGGGAGGATGAAGCCAACAAACCAGTGACTTCCCACGAGCATGGCCGGTCCACTGAGCCCAGCTGGTCACCCCATTGGTTTGTGTTAACAAATGGCCACAAGCACTGGGAACTGTGGTCACTTTGGGAAGCAAACCCTGTGTGATGGCACCGGTGGGCTTTTGGTGTGCCTGTTACCACTAAAAGGTCCTGAGCTCCGGTTTCTGGGCTGGTGCTGGCTGATACCATCTACCAAGCCGCGCGCTTAGGAACAGCGCCTGCTTTGTTGTAGGTTAACTTGTCAGAGCACATGGGTGCACTTTCTGGGTCAGGGAATGAAGAGAGGTGCATGTTTCAGAGAGTTTCCCTGTTGGTTTTGTGCCACCAGACCCCGAGGAAAGCGATCAGTGAGCCTCTCTGTACAGTGAGCACAGCTTTGGCAGATCCTGGAGGGGTGGCAAAGCCCTTTGAGCAAGGAGAGCTGACTCCCCTGGCTGAGTGCAATCTGAGGCACGCCACAGACAACACATACCATGGGCTTATCCCCTTTGTGGCCTGTGGGCTGCTGATAAATGTGCACCCAGAGTGGTGTTCTAGTATGGGGAAGTCACTAGCTTTAAAAAGGGAAATGGTGAAGATTTGGCTGATTACATCTTAACTGAGGAAGTGGCTGGATATCCCAAACTAGAGCTGCCATAGAGAGGAGAATTCAAAGAGCTAGGCTAGAGGCAGGGGTGTCAGTGTCTGTCTACATGACTTGCTGCTGCTGATCTAGAAATAATGGTGCTTGGGCCACAGAGAGGAGTTGAATAGAACTGTGGTTCCAATACCACCTATCCCCCTCCTGCTTTGGCTCAGGAAAGTTTCAACGGTGCAGAGCGATATCCAGGAAAAAAATTAAGCCTTGAAATATTTTCTGTTAGATAAGGAAAACCACATATTGACCCAACATCACAACAGCCCCATGTCTGCCCCAGAGGTGACTGAACAACTGCTTCATCCTTCCTTACCTGCCAGGACCTTGCAGCCTCTTCTCCCTGCTGAAGGAAACAGAGTTGTGTTAGCCTCTGCTGATGCAGGAGGTGAGACTAGGCAGGTAAGCCAGGAGCTCCCTATAACCCTGCAGCATCTCCACCTGTGTGTCCTTCAGAGCTGCAGGAGAGTGCGAAGGGTTCTCTATGGGGCCATCCTCTGCAGAGCCTTTTGGTGGCCACCAGCCCCGCGTGCTGCAGAGCAGGCCAGCAGAGCCTGCACATGAGCATCAGTGCCCAGCCATGCACTGATCACTGGTGTTTTTTGCAGTACATGCATTTGTCAGATCATATTCCATCCACAGCACCTGTGAAAAGGGAATCAGGGCAAGCGGGAATTTGAACACCAGACTTACGCAAGGAGACATTTCCCCGAGTGGGAATTCAGGTATCATGTGCTTTGGTGCAAGTTTGGACCTGCCAGTTCGGTTTTGTTCTCCCAAATCTTGTTTTGTTCTTCCCCACTGTGATTTTGTTGGTTTCTTTTCCATATTTACTAACTGCAGACTTACCCTGGGCACGTGCCACTGACCCTCCCTGTAGTGCACAGTTCCTTACCAGCCCTCCCTCCTTCACTGACACCTCATGGCAGTTTTGCAGGGTTAGGTTGCTTTCATTTTTCAGTATCCCTCTTTCCTTTTAAAAGCAGGGAGTTCTGGGAGCCTATGAGAGCTCAGAATGTCATTACCTATGGAAAACAGCCCATCCTCTGTACCCAGGGTACCTGGCAGGAGGCACTCCTGGGTTGCTGGTTGCTGCTGGTGTTTGCACTCCAGGGATACTGTTGGAAGGAAAGTGTGTGGGTAAAAATACTGTTATGTGGCTTAGAACTTAGACACTATTGGTGGGTCTCCCGAGAGGTTATGTCTGTGTGAGCAGCTGGGAAACAAATGCATCATCCCCACACACACATGCACACTTACCAGCTCCTCCAGGTGCTCGGTGACATCAGATGTCTCCCTTCAGCAGCTGGCACGTCGCTGCCTGTCACAGTCCTGCACTCTGCAGCAGGACAGGGATGCAGGCGGCAGCAGGGGTGCGTGGCTGCCCTGAATCCCAGCGTTTCCCTTAGCACTCTTAGGATTGGAACTTCATTTGTTGTTTTCAACTCAATAAGAGACAGACGCGAGCTGAGCTGATGCCTCAGACCAGCAGCCTACTTTGTGCTCTTTACCCAAGCCCACGTGCTGCACAGGCAGCTGCCAAGCAGTGCAGCTGCCAGCTCGGGTGTGAACACTTGCACCTTGTTCCACGTGGATGCTGCGTTGTATCTTGTGTAACAAACACACCTACAGAGGAATTCTCTTGGAGTATTCTTCCTGTAATGATGGGCTTTGTCCTGTGATGACTGCCCTTAGATTAAAGAAGTACAGATAATAAGACTATAAGAATATTATGGGTATTTGCTTGGCTGGTACTGAAGTATTCTTTTAGTTCAGTAGCGCCTCCTCTCACAGTTCTTGGAAGTATATGTACAATTTTGCAGAAGCATTATGATGTAATTTAATTCAAGTGGTTTAAGCACTGAAATCTAATTAAATTATTTACATGAAATCCAGTCTGATTGTCTTTTTTTGCCTGCCATCACTTGCATTTTCCACATTCCATCCAACTGCTGGAGTGGATCCTTGGTACCCGGTGGTGATTTGTAAGCCGTGAATTCCCCCCAGTCTTTCACAGGCTGAAGTAAGCATGTAAACCCTCGGAAGGACAAGCTCTTCAGAGACAAGATCTTGGTGCTTAGTGGAATAGTCAGGAAAGCAAGAGCTTCCAGCCCAGCAGATCCTGGGCATCCAGAGCGCAGGAAAACAAATTCTAACTTCTCTGTTTGCCATATATCCCTTAAGCAGCTGAATTCCTGGACAAACTAGGGGGTCATCAGCTCACCTCCAGCCCATGATAGCCTGCCACCACTGGGGTGAACACTTGAGGCAGCAGTAGCTCCATGAGGATCCTGTTGGTGTATTTCAGATTTGCTTTCTGCCTCATCTTCTGGCCCACAGACCCCAGACTTGGAACTGATTAGGAAAGCTGCCACATTAACTGAAAAGGCTATGGCCAGGAGCAGAATTAGCTGTATGAAAAGCTAAATACCTGTATGACACACACAACAACACAGGGCATAAACAGACACAGCTGTGGAGACTTCTGGATGTACACAGCAAGCAGAATAGGCTTGTGCTCCCATCAAGCCAGTTACGAGGTACTATAAGCCATACAAGAGGATGGAATTAGGTACTCGCATTTGGGTTTAAGGGCCTGTCTGTTTTCCTCCATGTGTTTTCCTCATGTTCATTATTCCTTGTTTGCACATAGATCTGTGGGTGCTCCTGAATGACCAGTTTAGAATCCCTAAACCACTAATTCAGATGAAGAGAAACTCACCTTGGCTGGTGACACGCGTGTGTGCTGAGGCTGTGGCACAGGAGGAGGAAGAGCAGGAGCCTGAGGTGCTACCTTTTATACCTTTATTAGAAACAAACTCCAAGGCTCATTTGCCAACATGCTTTATGCCTTCACCAAAACCATTTATGAGACTCCAACTGAAACAACCTCTTATTTTTGACTGAGTCAGACCAAAACTGTCTGGGCTTAAAAACACTTGGAATGCATGTGCTTAGAGGTAGGATTTGGCTACACAGAGAAGGTAACTCACTATATGGGACGTAAAGAGTGTTTTATCCTTTCAAAAAAAGAAAATCCAGGCACTCCGATGTGAGATCCTAGCTCTCTGCAGTTGGCTGGTATTCCGCCCATCTTTAGCAGGCATTGACTTTCATTCCAAGTCTGCATAAACATGGAAGCTGAAGTTATGAACTGGGATTTCAACTGCACGCAGAGTAGCTCCTAATAGTGTGGAATTCTGCTTGTTCTCCTTGAGCACTTACATTTTTATGGAGACGTTGTCTACTGTGGCTTCCCCAAAGAGCATTCAGAGGTAGCAAAGACCATAGATTTTCATTTTTAAGTACTTTGTAGGCATGTCCCAGAGCGTAGAGCTGACCTGCAGCAAATGGATTTACTATGTAGCTGAGGCGGTTTTCGTCCCTACTCCATGCCACCAGCTGAGAAAGCTCTGACTGGTATACTAAGAAAAGCTTGAGTCTCCTACAGATGCAATTCCTAATCCATTTAGGAGAAGCTGAAGTTCCAGTCTTACACTGTAACAGCTATTACTCTCAGGTAAGAGGGGTTAATGAAATGGGCAGTACAGCCTTGCAAGCAGGGTACTAAACCTGCCAATTCACCTGAAGAATTAGGTAAAGAAGTTGGTAAAATAGCTTGGTCTGCCACTGGGGTGGCCTCTGAATGCAGACATGAACTGCTGCTGAGCTTGTGTGTCCCCTGAGGAAGAGCAGCTCCATAAGCTGAATTCAGAGGAGCACCACTTGCATCTTCTCATGGAACCATCACCAGTTACAGATGTGTGTGCATGATGTCCCGCCTGCATTTATCCACCCAGCAGGAGCAGGGGGGTCAGACTCATCCCATACCTGGCAGCACACCTCATCCTATGGCTTAAGATTAGGTCAGTCCCTGGGACCTAATCCATTCAACCCTCGATTTCCCTGCTACATGGTAGAGGAGGCACAAAGGTTATCTGTGATGCTGTTTTCTCCCGAGACCACCAAACTCCATACACAAGAAACTACTGCCAGGACAAACTGGACAGAGAATGAACAGGGCTGGGACTCTCAGCAGTGCTAAACTGGGCAACCTAAAAAAAGACCTAGAAGGAAAACAACCTTTTTTTCTCCTCTTATCATCTGTCTCCAATGAGCCCTTCCTCTGAAATCTGCGTACGTTTTCTTGTGTTACATAAATACCTGCTAAGGGACCAGACCTTTGATGAAAGGATAATAAATGACTCAATATAAGCTGCCATTTCATGGGTTTCTGCTAGGCACTGCCATAAATTTAAAGCCAATTATGTTCTGTTGAAATATTTAACACTGTAAAGCTAGCCAATTTTACATCTTGTCAAATATAACTGAAATACCCGCTTTGTCCCTGTAATAGGCAGGCAGAACATCCACGGATGGAACATCCAAGGTGGGAAATACCACTGGGATTTCACTGTTTGCAACTGGATATTGGAAATATCCTCAATCCCTCAGGATGTAACAAGGCGAGCTCTGACACCGAAAGCACAAATCTGCACACAGTGTGACTGAGAGCAGGCAGTTACAACCTCACACCACTGGCTGCTGCTGTCTCCCAAAACTAAACCGTTATCAGCAAGCTTTTATTTGCATAACTGCAACACTAGAGGACCCCACACACGTACCTTATGGACTGAAGATACAACTAATTTAAACCGAATCCCCAGGCTCTGCAAGAAAACCACCCTTGGGTAGCTGGCTCCTTAGAGATGGGCCTTTGGAGGGGTGAAATCCAGTGGCTGTGACTCAGCTTGACAGCACTGTGCACTTAGAGCTGCTCTCACATTCAGGGGGAGTGCCACCAGGCTGAGAACTAATTATAGGAGATGGGCCTGAGTTGATAATGCTGGGATAAGCATTTTAGGATCACTCCCCAAGACATGAGGGTGGGAACTTTCCTCTAAAGCATGCAAGTGGTCAGCATACTGACCACCACAGCAACAGCATTAAGCAAGCTGGAAATGCCATGAAGCTTTTTCTTTCAAATATAGTAAAGAAAGGACCAAAAATACTGTCTTTCAGATGCAAACTCTATACACAGCTGTGTAAAACTTAGCTCTTGGGACTGCACCATCAATGATATAGAAGTTCAACAGTTAGCTGTGTAAACAGATTTCCATTACTGTATCGGCATTACTGAGTCAATGCCATGTTTCTGTTCAACTCTTGCTGTCCATAGCAGGGTAAGCCACCATGTTATCCAAGTGTTTTTAAGAAAGATTAATACGCCTACAAAAGATACACTACAAACTGTGAAAGGCATCTCTCCAACAAGGCATTTGCCATTTCTTCCCCCGAGTCCCTGCTTGGATGTTTGAGGTAAGGCAGCAGACAACAGGAGAGAAAGCTTGGCCAAAGTTATCACAAAGGAAGAATCTGAAATACGACATTGAAACTCGTGTTTGCTTCCCAGTCCTCTGGCTTTAGCAAGGCGTGAACAGGTGGAATACTACTGATCTGTGGCAGGGATGGTACCCAGAAATCTCCTAAGATCAGTAGTTTTGCCAGGCCTGGAACCATCTTTTCCAGCGATGCCTAAAAGGAAAGATCATGGGAGAGAGAAGGTTAGAGCTCCAGCTCCAGGAGCCTACCTGCCCAAATGCCCCATTAGTGAGTCACTGGCAAGGTTAAAAAGTGGCAAGGACCCGCTCCCAAACAACCAAAGATCTCAACAACATTCCTGTTCTTGTACCAGCTCCAGGCTAAAACCTGACAGGATGGCTTCCCTGGCAGCAGGCCTCAGCATGAGGCTACTATTCAGAGCCCAGAAGTTACACTCTGGGCCCTGCTACACAAGCATCTGCTGTGAGCAGTTATGTATTCCTAAGTGGAACTCTCAATCCACCAAAGTACCAGGAGTGCCCAATGTCATAAACATCAGGGAAGCAGATGCACAGGGGTCTGAAAACAGCGAGTGGGGGACATTTCTGGCTACACAGGCTTGCTCTGATCTGCAGCTGGCCCTTTGCTTGCAGGAAAGCTGAGGTGGCCACTGGGAGGGGACCCAGAGGGAACAAAGTGAGACAAAGGAGGTTGCAGCTGCTCCATCACTCAAAGTACTTGAGAAGGAAAGGAACACAGAAAGGAGCATGATCCTGAGGCTGCTTCTGGCTTTAGGCTGAGGCTTGGAGACTTTGCCCTAAAGCAGACTCTTCCCCTCTCACACCCATACTTCCTTAGGCAAGCAAAGTTACTGAAAGAAACCAAGGCTGCTTTTGTGGCTGAGGAGGTACGGAATCAGCTTCATCAATCATTCAGCAGTGGGGCTCATGGGAGAGAAGACACATGCTCCTTTGCCCAGATAAACAGAAACTGTAATAACTGAGTTGTGATTGGCAGCATCTGCAGGTAGCAGCCCAGTAAAGCCTGAACTGTTAACAAAGCCCTGCCTGCTCCTGGATAACCTAGAGTCACCATAACCAGTGCCTTGGGAAAACCAGGGCAGGCTCCCTAGGTAAGGGCCATGGGAAAACATCAGCCAGCTTTAGAGCAGCTCTCTGCCCCATGGCAGGCAAGTCTTGCATATTTCCAGTTCAGCTCTTCCTGTGTCTTCGTGTTCCCCATAACACACTGATGGGGAAGCAGGGAGTCAGTCAGGGCTGATTTCAGCAATTCTTTCCTAATGTTGCAGACACACAACCCAGGGCAGAACTCTTTCTCAAGGCTGTACAGCTTACAAGCTTCAGAACAAGCAAGCGTCTGTATATCCTCCCATGCCCTTGCTCTAGCACAGCACCTCAAAAATCCTCACCCAAAAGGAAAAATCAAATTAACAAACCCCACGATGACCAAAAGCTCTGCCTGTCCCTATAGCAAAAGATTAATATATAATTACAGACTCTTGCTAACAAATCTCAGAGCAGCAGCCTCCTGCACGAGTAGCACAAAAGCTTGCAGGCATGTAATACCTTGCAAACAAGCCACAGGCTCTGTAGTTTCCAGTAAGTCAGAACACTAAGTTTCCCCTTTCCCTTTTTAGTCTGAAGTTTCTAAGACAGGATTATCACTCACTCCACCTCAAGCTCCTGAGCAAATAACAACTGTTACGAAGTCTTCCAGAGGATTGCCAGGTTTCAGTCTGTACATGCTTATCCCCCCGATGTATTGGCTGTGTTCTTTCCTTACAGAAGTGCACACCTTCCCCAGCAGTACCCCCCGGCTCCATCCCTAGCACTAAGCGTGCAGACACACAGTGGTTTGGGCTGCAGTATCGTGTGCCTCACTGCTGTCTCCCACTGACCGCAGCATCCGCTTATCCTGTCACATCTGGTTCTACCTCACTGCAACAGGAGGGAAACATATTCCTCATGTCCCCGCTCTCAGCCCCACTCAAACTGAAAGGAAGAAGAAAGTCCCCACATGGACTGTGGTTTTGGGTGATGCTCAAGAGCAGTTCTGAAAGGCAGGGACAAGGCCGGAGGTGAGCTCATCACCCGTGAGCCTGCGGCTGTGCCGATGTCATCTCACAACTCAGTGGCAGGAAGTGATACGGGAGCAGGAGCCTGAGAGGAAGCTGAGTTGAGCAGCTGAGGTTAACTGCTCTGGCATTGCATCATGGGGCTTTTCCAGGGACTTTCTAAGAACCTGAGGTTGGGTTTGGGTGCTCCGTGTCAGTTAGCTCGCTTCACACGCCACGCTCAACAGTGCTAACGGCCACGGGATGAGGGAGCAGCTGTTCTGCATGGCAGAACAAGGCAACATCTGCCTCTCCTGGGTTGCTGGCCCCTTCCGCCTCAAGGGAAAGGATATAATGAATAGCTTCCTCTGATGCCCACTGAAGGCAGGACTCAGCTGCACGCAAGTTTCCTGGCATCTGCCACAGAAAAAGCCCTGAATGGATGGGCTGGACTTGGATTTGCACTTTCCTAGGGGTCTAGTGAGGCTGGGGCTCTGGGTGGTACAGCTCTAAGTTTCCACAACTCCAGCCCTGCAGTGTTGAAGGCCAGGTTGGACGTGTCCCTGCCCATGGCAGGAAGGTCCCTTCCAACCCAAACCATTCTATGATAAGTTATCTGACCAACTCATCTCAAAGCAGCTTAGGTAACTTTGCAGCCCTGTATAGAAACTTGCCAGTGCTGCTGATGTTAGTGGGTGGATGCTAGCGCAGAGAGCACTGCCCTGAGTACAAGCCAGGAAGGAGAGAACAAGACTATCAGGGAGGCATGCTGGAGTTAATCCAGAATACTAGGATGTTCCACATGTCAAGGGATTGTAATTTGTTTAACTCAGGTAAGGTTCAGACATTCATGAGAGACTATTTTCATTTTCTACATAACACAGCCAGACAATTTTGCTGAGCCTTACCTATAAGAGTGACCAGAACCTCAGATGCAAGACTTCCTGGAAAGATGTAGATATTCTTCCCATCCCTCTTTTCTGCCTCCACTTCCGTTGAAGTAGCCACAACTGAATTAGATGGAAGGAATGTGCTACCCCTCCTGTTAGAATGTGCCTGGAAGCCTTCCAAATTCTCTTGTGTTTGTAAAAGTTACCAGAATGACTGCAGCCAGTGCTAAAGGTTTGCTAGAGCGTGGTTTGCCAGGAGCATGGCTGCACAGTTTAGCCTTGTGTAACAATCTAACTACAGACCTTGTGTGGCTGGCGCCGAGGTCGAATTCAAGTCACTGCTTCCCTGAGGATTTCCTTCCCGAGACGCTCCTCCTTTGGCCACTGGTTGAGGCTACGAAGGAAAACACAGAAAACAAACACACCCCACCGCCCCCACCCCCAGATAAAATTAGATATCAAAAGACAAAATTGCAAAGACACAAAGTAGATGGAAAGCAAAAAAGCCTTTGATCAATGTTACTTAAATAGGCCGGCACAGCCCTGAGAGCATGTCCATTTGCCACCGCTTCCTATACCCAACCACAGGCAAGAGCAAGCGCCAGTGTGTCCACACACAGTCGTGAGCATCTCTGGATGCTGTCAGAATCCATCATAGCAGTCTCAAACAGCCCCATGCTTGTGGAAACACCTCCTCATTACGCAGCCGTGGAGAAAGATTTTCACCCTTGAGAACACTTCCTACAGTTCAGGGTACTTTCCTGTCCTGAACAACTAAACGCTGCCCATCAACAATCACAACCAAATGCCTGTTCTGTTTCTGCTGCTCTGGTTTTACCCCAGACCACTCCTCAGCCGTTAAATTCATTTTGAACTGATACATGTGCATGCCTCACTAACCCAAGTGAGAATGAGCCGTAAAGAAAAAGCAGCCGGGGTACAAAGAGGCTTCAACTCAATAAATTGGCGTGAAGCAAAGATTTCTTTAAGATTTTCTTACAAATGACCCTGCAGCTCACTGTTTTATAGTAACAAACACCCCAACTTCCAGCTCTGGCACACAACTGAATTACTTTAACCACAAACCCCAAGCCTAACCCTAGAACTGCAGCTACTATGACCTCTTACAAAAGAGGATGGCCAAAGAGTCTTTTCCAGCCTCACTTGTAGCTTGCTATAGATAAGATGGCTATAAAGTATTCCTAGCATTCCATAGGTGTTTATAGACTGGGCAAATCCCTGAGCACCCTTATCCAGTTAGGCCTGCATTGAGCCGTGGTTTGAACTCCAGGATCTCCAGTGGGCCCTTCCAACCTAAATGATTCTCAACAAGTAAAAAGCAGCAGTAGAGGTACACACACAGCTGAGGGGCACCAGACATTTGGTATCACAGTTAGTAGATCCTGGGAGCTATCAGGATGCTCCAAACCATTGCCTTGCTGCTTTCTGTGTGCCATAAATGTCTCAAGGAAGCACCAGCTGAATTTATAAGGAAGGGTTTTAATCAGATTATTGTAACAGAAAAATAACTTCCATGGAAAACATTTTTCAAATTGCACTTTACCACCACCACCACCAGAAAGAGAATATAGGACAGAAAACTATCCCAGCTGGCTTGATTTCAGGTGTTAGCTTCTGACAGCACCCCCAGAAGATGTCAGAGAGCATGTTCTCAGCACTGCCTGGCTGCCCCTATTTCCTTTCCCACTGCAGGAGCCTGTCCCCAGTAGGGAAGGGGGGTCTCTCTCTGCAGCTGTGTCAAGCACACCAAACAGCTACAAGGCAGGGCTGAAGCCATCTCTTCTGTCACTGTTACTGTCAGTTTAACCACAAAACAGCCCTACCAGCAGGTGTTCTGTAAACTGTCCTTTGCTCTGAAACCCTCTCTCAGCTTTGTTCTGCATAGGATCCTCAGCTTTATATAGGATGTACTTCTTTTGGCTTTCCTGAACACCGTCCTTTATTCCTGCCCTTGTAGGCCCTCCTGCTTCACTTTGAGATTTGTCAGCCCATGAACAACACCAGCAGAACTCACTGGTAAGATGTTTTGGTCTCCAAGACACAGCTATTTCTGCTTCCAGTGCTTTTCCACAGAGCTTGATGATCTCAATTTGCAAAGCTGGTTGCTTTAAGTACTAGTAGCATACCTGATTTCCTTACGCAGTGTATTTAAATAGGCTTAGGAAAAGCAATGGCCTTTGGTAAAAGCTAGCTGCTGAGCTAGATTGTGACCTTCTTATCTGGATTTCAAATGAAACAGCAATTGGACAGGTTTATGGAGGAGATCTCCTCTGGGAGGTTCAGTTCTGCCCTGAGTTTGCAGGCAGATTCCCTCCACCACTACCCAATAAGTAGTTGTATGCCAAGGTCACTGCCGCTTCAGAGAAGCCTTCGAATCTCTCCCACATCCTAGAACATCCTCCCTGGTGAAGCTTTCCTTCTAAGTCTCCTGCATAGCCCTCTCAGACTGCTCTATCCCTGCTGGACCGGTGTCTCCTTTCATCACAAGCACTCCTGTGGCACTGCAGCTGTAGAACAAACCTGTAGATGCCTGCAGCAAGTGCACAGCTTGGGTTTGGTCTGGAACGTTTTGTGGTCACAGATACACACCAAATAATGGTTTGTGGCTGTTGGGGGGTTTTTTAATCACTCCTAATAACAGAGAACAGGACATGAATTGTTCACAGGACTGAATATCCTTATTGATTAAAAGCTTTAATCTTTTTCACGCCTGAAGTGTTCCATCTTCATTTATTGATTCTTACTAAGCCTTTGTCTGCTGCATGAAAGAGCCTCCTGCTGGCAGGACTCAAAGTTTCATCTCAACAAATTTCTTTCCTTGATTTTAAGTTTCTCCTTTTGAGACAAGCTGACACGCTAAGCTATCACTTCAGTCTTTCAAGAGCCCTGGGAAGACAACCCCTCTGTCCAAGAAAGGATGGAATCTCCAGTCTGACATTCCAAGCCTGGGAAAGAGCTGTGGAAGACTAATACACCTTTAGCTAAGTACAGCAGCTCTCTTGGGCTCTCGCAGTTCTTCAGGAACTGAATCTGAGGGACACTAGAAAGGGCCTCAGAGCTCCCCTGATGTGCTAGGTTTCCAGGCCAGCCTGAGAAGAGCAAACACAACTGAAAGTCCCTATAGGACCTGTGACTGGAGAAGAAGAAAAGGACTAAACCCTGTACTCACCCACTTGCGGGGCCTCCCTCTTGGCCTTTTCCCAGCAGAAGGTTCTACCTTTATTAAAAGCAAAGGGAGAAAAAAACCTATTTTCAGCCCTCATATTTACTGGGAACGGTGACTAATAAACACACTGAACCTGGCCAAGGGGACATTTGTGTCAAGTCCTTGCCAGACAGCAGCAGAAAACACAAAAGCTGGGGACAGAGGGCAGTTGAGGAGGAAGCGCCTGCCAGGCTACGCTGGTTGTGATTATTTGGCAGCAGTGGAGGAGAAATGCTAGAAGGAAGCTGCTGAACAGGCAGTGGCAACACAGGAAGGCTGGGAGGTGAGTTAGGACTCACAAACCCCACAATAACTGGTTTGTCCACAGTGGCAATTAAAGCTGAGCTGAATTAGGTGCAACTTCACTGCCTCTATTTAAGCTAAGAGGAACCTCCCTGCTTGTACCTCTAACAATGCTCCAAAGAAGGGACAGCCAGCTTTGCTGTCCCCCATTAAAGAAAATGAGCCATTTACTCTTACCATTTGTCCAGATACAGTAGTCACTTTCTTGCTTCCTTTTGGCCTTCCTCGTGGTTTCTTCACTGGCAATGGTCCTACAGCCCCCTCCTGGAATAGAAGGAAAAAAATCATTTCAGCAGGATGATCCCTGGAATGACTCAGAGCTTCTCATTTTAATGCGTGTTAGACTGTCTTAAACCAGTAATAGCACCCACCCAGACCACTAAATACCTGGTTGCCTCTGCTTTTCCAGCACTAGAAGATGGCCAGCAATAACCCTACCCCTTTGTCTTGTGGGCTGGGGAAACAAGTTCCCAGACTCTGACCATTGTGCCTGGAATAGGAGAGAAAGGGTGCTGGCCTTCTCTGCTGTACCTAACGCCTGGTGCAGGAACAGAGGGTGGTGACACATGAAAGCCTCCAGACTGCAAGAAAGATCTGGCTAGCTCCTCTCATCCCATTTCCTGGCCTTGACACATTAGAAGCAGCTCTGAAGCCAGGGGCTGAGATGCCCCAGGGCGCACTGCTTCTTTCCTGAACAGCAATAACATGTACCACAAAACACCTCAGCTTCCCTTCTCTTTGCTAGCAAGCTGCTTCTCCTACAAATCCTACCAGGCTGATGATACAGCATCCTTAGGCAGCCTCTTAGGATGATGTGCCCTCACCTGTGGCTGCTTCTTTGGTCTTCCCCTCTTTCTCTTCAGGCCCTCAGTCAGGGTAGATGAGCCAGGGTTCGTGGGCCTCTCGTTGCTCATGTTGGCACTTTCCACAGTTTCCAGATGATAATCTAACAGGCTATTTTTCCATGGACAAGAATGAAAACTTGTCTCCTCTTTCTTCCCCTGTGTTGCTATGGATTCTCCTCTACCTGTAAGGCTGAAAAGGTGAAAGAGAATCAGTCATGACAGCTTGCTATTGTTTTTATCAGCTGGAAGAGTCTGGGACAGAGCACGTATTTAGAAGCATAACTATGCTTTATAAACCTTGACATTGTCTCTCATAGCCTGTTCCTCAGCTTTCTGAGGCTGTCTGCCAAAGGAGCTGAGCATGTCAGTGCCTGCATCTACCTTTGCCCCCCTGTTGGCCAGTTTCATCTGAACTCCCCATGTCTTCAGCTCTCTGAACTCCTCTCTTTGTAGGCTTCCTTTGCCTGAGGAGGAAGGAGGTGGGAAATGAAGTGCTGGTGCTGAGTTATAAAATGCCCCATTCAAGTGTGAAGCTTCATTTGGAGCTCCTGTACCATCAGATACCAAACCTAATTCTGAGACCCAAATGCACTGCAAAGAGAGCCTTATATCAGGATGTTTGAAAGAGCAAGTATTGGGGTACAAAATCTTTAAGAGGTGAATTTGTCTCAAACACAAACTCCTCAAGAGTTTGTTCCTCATCAATGACTGAATAGCTGCCATCTGGGGAGATGGCCTGACCCCATTTCAGAGCCCTCAACCTCTGGTCCTACATGAGGCTCACTGTTTCCTACAGAACGAGTCACCCAAACCTGGGTATTGCTGGATCCTGAGCACTGGTTTGCCTACTGGAAGTTTGTATCAGCAGACTTGCCAGTCTTTCCCATCCCCAAGCTCAACTCGGTGCCTGCTGTGGCTGGAATGAGCTCTCATCTGACTTGACTGCTCTAAGAAATAACCAAGATCAGAAGCTGTTGAGGGTACATAGGAAACCAATGACTTTCCATGCTTCTGCTTTAGGTTTCTCCTTTGGTGTGTCTGCCAGGGAAGGTGGCAGCCTGACTCTGAGCCTTTACATCCCCCCCCCATTCCAAAGCAGGAAGAGGAAGGAAGAGACCTTGACCATGGCTCAGCTGGCAGCTGAATCCCAGGCACAATAAGAGAGGTGGGGTCATTGCTCTTGCTGCATGTGAGGTAAACCTTAGCCAAGGAGCCGAGGTCAGCTCCCAGTCTGCTGATCCACTTGAAAATAGCACCTGCAGTCTCCCCAGCTCTTGGCCTCCCTTTCCTTCCTGCACAGCAGGGAGGGCTCAAGAAGATGAGAAGGCTGAGGAGCCTGGCTGGGCAAAGGCCAGCAGTGCAGCCTGAATCCTCTTCTGTCAGTAACTCTTACCACAGAATAAATAGATGAGAATAGTGTGGCTTGGAAAGCAACATCATTGTTTGCTTAGGGAAGCAGGAGTATATGGAGAAACACTGCATTTCTACCTTTTGTACATTGCCTTCTTCTCACCTAGACACTACAGGTGTAGTCAGCCTTGCCTTTAGAAGCTCTTCCACCTCCACCTCAGAAATGGCTTCTGCAGCTCTTTGCTCTGTTTTGTTTCTGCTTTCTCACTCGTTAGATGGACGGTGACAACAGCGTGCTTAAACAGCTCTTTGTCCCATCAGCCTCCAGTGCTGCTGCGTCCCTCTGGCAGGCTCCACCTGAGGCAATGAAGGCACTATTGCAAGCAAGAGCACAGCTGCACCATGTAGAAGAGTGTGAGTGCCTCTCTAAGAGAATGCTGGAGGGCAGAAGCTGGGCTCAGCTCCAGCTCATGCACGAGAACCCTACCTAGTGACCTCCCTGGATATACCTTTGTGCGCACTGCTGGGACGCAGCTCACAGGTGCTGCTGCACACTCAGCTCTTCTATCAAAGCCTCTGCTCAGAGGTTGATGCAAAGAGCAGAGCTCAGGTCTGTGAATTCAGGCTGCAGCTGGAGGGCAGACAGTTAGGAAGAAACCCTTTGTACTTGCAAGCCACGCACAGTTGCCGCCAAGGCCCTGAGAGACAAACGTGAAACACGTCTGCAGTCTCTTTGAGAGAAGAGCTCTGCTTTTAGAAACTGTTCCCAGAGCTTTGTAGTTTGATCAGATGTTCAAGTTCCAAAGGTGAGAGGGCTTTAACTGAGATAATAGGATCTTAGAATGGTTTGGGTTGGAAGGGACCTTAAAGATCATCTAGTTCCAACCCCAACAGATATCCTGCCCCCTGGTCCAGTTACTGTTTTCTGTGTCTGCATTTACTGCTCAGAACTGGGGGCTCAAACAGGCTGGTGCTGGCATCTGGGGCTGGCTGAGGCAGGAGGCAGTCAGTGATACACACGGACCCTGGACTGCCTGAGGAGCAGAGAAGCTTTAGCACCTCTTCCTAAAGGCAGGACTACTCCAGCTCTGGCTCCTGCTGCACACATCTGTGGCTGGATCAGCCCAGAGTGCCGCAAAGGTGGCTTGAAGCCTCCTGAGCCTGAGCCTCCCCTCAGCTCCCAGTGGAGAGGGAACAGACATTGCCATAGGAATGGACATGTGTCAGAGTGCTGTCCAAGCCAGGTCCCTGAGAAGAGATTAAGGCTGCTTTGGCACAGCTTCTCCCTATGGATCACAGTAATGTGAAAGCACAGGCTCAGCACTTCTTGGAATTCAGATCCTAATGCTAATACAGGGAAAAGAGTTATGGAGAAAATACAAACATGTCCTTGAAAAGTATCATACCCATGTTTCCCCCTGTTTTTCCATGGTGATGGCTGAAGCATAGGGAATGGGATGAATGATGGGCTATGGCAAGTAATGTCAAAGATAACAACTGATGTGGTTGTATCTGGGGGAGGCTGTGCAGACAGGAGGGCTCAGTGAAGTGTTTGTATTTCCTTTTTCAGTCTCAGATTGCACTATTTGCTTGGCCACCTCAGGCTGGACACACAGAACCTGAGAATATCACTGGCAGGTGCAGCAAGAAAACTTCCAGCCTTCACTCCATATCCTAAGAAAACACATCCACTGAAGGCACTGCTCTTAGTGAAGCCACCTCTCTCGTGGGCTCACTGGAACTGAAACCCGCATTAAATCCCAATTGTGCATCACAGCACAGAGAATTCATTTCCCCCCAGATGCAAAGAAAGTCAGTTCTTGCACAATGACTGTTTCCTAAATCTTGCTACACTGATACACTCTACACTGTCTTTCTATCTGGCTAGCTCTCTCCAGCCAGGACTGCACAGAAATGCACAGGCTGCCAGGAGACAGCAGTGTCTTTGGACAGCTCTCTTCCACCTTCCCATCACCAAGCACATGCTTCTTGAAGCCTGGTGCAGAGAGGAAAAAAAGCCACAAGCAAAGCTATACAAGCATCACTCCTTGGGGCTTTTGTAAGCTTTTATGTGACTCAATGTAAGATACCTACAAAGCAAAAGCACTCACTGCAGTTCTACTTCAAATTACTCAACAATAGTTTTTATATATATATAAAACCCAATCAATATTAAGTCCCGGAGTCACTGCACTCCCTGCTGGGAGTGGAGCCAGCAGGGCTTAATTCCATTCCTATACACTATCCACAAGGGCACAAGACCTAAAAACCTGTCCAATGCTTGTGAACCTTAGATCACCTTTATGAGAGCCATATGCAAAGCTTTGCAAATGATGCAGACATGTGAATACCATGGTTTTGGGAGAAACATCACCTAAACCGAAGCACCTCCTGTCCCAGAAGCTTTCCCAGGCTCCTGGCAGAGGACAGGGGATTCTCACAAGCACATTACACCTGACTTAGGTGCTAAGTTGTACAAAGCCAGTTCTTCCACCACACCTAATTCCCAGGAAAGAAAAGCTCCTCCTGGGACAGTGTAGTTGTAGTTTGACACAGGGTGTTGAATAGTCTTCATGGGGGACTTTTCCCTTTCCACAGACTACAGAGGAAGCCTCAGGGTCAGCTTACTGACTTGGCCAGGTAAACAGCAGAACCCCATCCTGTTTCCTCAGGGCGGTTAAATTTGATGCTATGTCCTTGGGAGAAATACAACATGAGACAGGAATGCTTGGGACATCAGACTAAAACCCCCAAACTGTGGGCCTGATTCACAGCAAATGCTGCCAGCAAATGATTGTCTAGCTGCAGTGCCCACGTACCAGACACAAAGCCTTTTCAAAGCATAATAGGAGTGTGATTGTGAGAGACCCTTCATTACAGCCTTAACTCTGCCGCTGTCTCTATAATAATAGGGAAAAATACCCACAAAGCACAACTCCCACTTATGAGCACAGTGCCATTGTTCTGCTGCCACATGTGACAAAGCAAACCCAGGGTAACTTCACCCATGTGAATGTGGTCACTCCTCAGTCTCCCTGTGAAAGGGGGGAGTGGGAAAATTGGCCTAAGCCCCGCATCAAGCGGAGGAGGATAAAAGACTTTGTCAGTCAAGACATCTAAAGAAGAGGCCTAAGAAAGCCAGGCAGAGAGAACCCTTTCATTCCAATAACTGCAGCAACAACGATCTGCACCCACATGATGAGAAATCACTTTCACCTTCCGAGAAACCCAACGCTCAGGGCTGCTCACGTCTCGCAGCAGATCAAGAAATAACACAGCTTGTTGTGGTTCCCCAGGGACTGCTCCACCAGAAAAGCAGGACAGCCGGTGCTGGAATACCTCCCTTGGGAAAGCACAGTGGTAGGGACACTGCCACCTCTTGTGCCAGATTTTTCTGTGAACTAAGGAACTTAAAGGCTGCTAAATGAAGCTTGTGGCAGCAGCAGGTAACTGCCACAACCTCATAAATCACATCAGAAAACCAGAAATAACTTCTCTGGGTGATTTCCCTAACTACTGTGAGTAGCTAAGTCTAAGCCATCTCTGGTCTCATGCTTAAAAGTCTCCTAGTTCCTTGCCTGTGGGTTTTTTTTTCCAATGAGCAATTTACTGTCATTGGTGATGCAAGGACAAGAATCCCCCATCTCACCTGGCTGAACAAGTTTCCAGTTTCTTGGGATGCAGTCGTATCTCCTGATCATTTTGATTAGCATTGACACCCTTTCCAATCTGAGCTCAACACAGCTGAACATAAGGACCCTTACTCTCAAAGCTATTTTAGGGCAGCTTAACCTGTCACTTACCTGGGAAGCATGAGCCAAGCAACAGGTCAGCGGGAAA